GGTTACAATTTCTTATTCTGTATACATGTTTTTTCTTTGTGTGTGTTTGTTTTTTTTCCGTTAAACTTTTTCATTACTCAATAATTCGCTGAATCATGATGTGGCCCTGAAGGTCAATGTGGCTACACGGTAATAAATATAGTGTGTTTTTTTTTGTTTTTGTTTTACTTTGATCTCTTTCACTGCTGGTTGTATCACATAATAATTACACCAGTTCAATAAAAGTTAAATCACAAAGTAGGTTGAAGATTTAGTAGGTTTAAAGTTCGTTGACCTGATGCATGAGAAAGACATACATGTATATGCACCTGTTAACGGTGCCTCCGGCAAAACTTTGTGACCACGCCCCTTTAATCAGTATCCACCCTCACCTGCTGATTATATGATGCTACATAAATGCGCTCGCGTGTGTGTGTGTATATATAAATAAATAACTAGTTCTAAAGCTATCAAATACATTACTTGTAAATAGGTGGTAAGTAATGACGAAATTAATATAAATCAAAAACATTACAGAGACTCAAAAATCAAAATTAATATTGTCCTTGTTGTCATCATTAAAACTCATAACGGATAATGTATGTGGTCATAGCATCCAAACGCGTTGGGGATATTCCATCTACAAGACAAGATCCAGACTCCAATGTCAAACTAGCCAGACTAAGGAAAATCGGTCCAGCATGGCCAGGTGGTTAGGGCGCTTGACTCTCAATCTGAGGGTCGCGGGTTCGAATCTCCGTCCCACCAAACATGCTCGCCCTTTCAGCCGTGTGGAAGTTATAATGTGATAGTCAATCCCATTATTCGTTGGTAAAAGAGTAGCCCAAGAGTTGGCGGTGGGTGGTGATGACCAGCTGCCTTCCCTACAGTCTTTCACTGATAAATTAGAGATGGCTAGCGCAGATAGCCCTCGTGTAGCTTTGCGCGAAATTCAAAACAAACCATACCAAACTAAGGAAAATGATTTATGGGTTAGGAGTTGAGTACTTGAACTCATAACATCTCAATTCCTGTTGCCTTTCGCCAACTCCTGCCATTTGTGGAAAGGAAGTTACCCTTAATATTTAGATACAACTTTAAAGTAGAAATAAACCACCCTAAATTTCTACAATATAAAACTCCTAACCTCCACCCTTACCTTTTATGCGATGTACAAAAAAGGCAAAATATTCTCAAAGTAGAAATAGACCATCCTATATTTCTACATGACTCCCAACCTCCATCCTTTTATTTAAAAATTACAAAATGATGTTAAATAGAACTAAAACCCTTACTTTAATACTTATTAATTTCCTCCTCCTCCTCCCTATTAAGGTAAGGTTGGAAGTTGGGAGTTACATTGTAGAAAATTGTTTCTACTTTCTGGTTGTATCTAAATATTAAGGGTAACTTCCTTTCCAAAACTGACTGCAGACAGCGAAATGCAATAGGAGTTGAGACGTTGTGGGTTCAGGCACTCAATTCCTAACCCTTAACTGATTTTCTTTAGTTGCTGGCTAGTTTGACATCGGCGTCTGGATATTGTCTGATAGATGGAATATCATCAACGCGTTTGTGTGCTATGGCCTCAGACGTTATATGTTATAAGTTTTAATGATGACAACAAGTACTGGTAATAAAAAAAAAATTTGAATTTTGAGTCTCTTTGATATGTTTTTGATTTATACTTAATTGTCTGATAGAAGGAATATTCCCAACGCGTTTGTAATGGTTTTGATTTATATTTTATTTACACACACACGCACACGTTTATATACTTTGATAAAACATAAATAATACCTAACCACCACACACTGAACTTTGAAATTCAGAGAAATGTCCTAGTCTTTTAATAGAACAAAAATTGAGAAACACCTCCCCCTCAACGTAAGTGAAAAAGCATAATTGATACTAGACTTTTTCATGTCATATTTCGATTTTCCTTTGTTGAACAGATGAATATTAAACATGGCAAGATATGAAAGCGTTTTTTTTTCAACTGATTTGCGCCTGTTTGCTTATATAGTATACATACATAACTTTTAACTTGATAAATGTGGAAAGGAAACAAGACAGGTTCGTCATTTTTAAAAAGAGATAAATAGTTGTCATTAAATACACTAGATGGCATCACAAAACAATGGAACTGTTGAGTTGATGACAGAATTATTCACTTAATATTTATTGGCGTGGTATTGGGGTAATAATAAGAATTCTAGTGATGCTAAAAAGTAAATGTGAAGTCAAATGTTTCATTGATTTATCACTTGTCACTGAATTATACAGGTTTCTGGGGATACTACCCTTATTAGTAATCGTGGATAAGGGCATATTGAAAGAATTAGACAAGGCTTCACATAGTGGTGGAGTGTATATCATATGTCTGGTGTTTTGAAATGTATTCCAAACACCATACAAATTATATTAATGTATGTTAATGAGGGCTATATATTTTACTTTCTATTTGTAAACAAACATTTTTGGAGATCTTATGAAAGTATGAATCAAAAGTGTGATGTATTTTTTAATATGGTGATCAACAATTATATATTTAAATATATAACTATATGCCATTGACTTTTTCTAATCTGTTTGCTTTTATCATATTTTACAAGTTACAGTAAATTATTTTACTTTTATATACACTCTTGAAAAAAGGCAAATTCTTTTCTAAGTAGAAGGAACTTTTGTGCAGGTCAAACATCATTAACCTAGTATTTTTTTATGTATTAGTGTAGTAACACTAATTGTTATTTATAAATGTAACTCTGACTATTGCAATAACTTGCAAATTTTGTTGAGTATTTGTCACTGCTAACTCAATTATGTAATAACTTTAATGTAGATAATTCAGTTTTCTGACAAAACTTGTGGCTTCTTGTACTGTTCCTTTTTTTCATGTAGTATAAATAAATGTACATTTGAAAAAGCTGCAGAAAGACTTGCTGGACTTGGAGAAATTAGTGTTTTTTCTGCCTTCACCTTTTTTTTCTTTTCGTTTTTAAGAGAAAACAGTTATGGATGTTACATAATATTGTTATGCTGACATTCACACTTCTATTTTATTATTACCTTTGTGCTTCTTCCACTTAGATACTGTAGTGGACAGTTCCTGCAGTGTAGCATAACAAGGTGTTGTGTACAAAATGCTACTTGCCTTTATAAGTTTCAAAAGTACAATTTTTTTAAAGTTTAATTATTACAGGTCATAAATGAAGCTTAGTCATAAATAGAGGCATAAAAAAGCGATATCACAGCCTACTGACAACAAGGGACTGTTTGATCTTCCAAGGCTGTCCTTTCATACTTATTCTTGGAAAAATTTAAAGGTACCATTTTTGTGAAATGATCAGTTCCCCTCTTAAATTTCTGTAAAGCACTAACCTCCTCTGTTTCTGATGGCAACTCATTCCATAAGTCAATTATACTGTTAGAAAAAACAAATTACTTTAACTGGAACCTTGCCTGCCTTTAACTAATGTTACATTTTCCTATTATCTTCAGAATATTAGCCAATCACTATATCTCTGCTTATATCTACTGAAGGTTAAGATGGAGTTGTTTCTGAGAAATAAAAGGTCGATTGAAATTTTTATTTTCTTCAAGAGTGAGCATGCAGTGACCACCTAGAAGAACTAAATGGCATATTCAGTGTTTGCTATTATACATGCTTGAGTTTCTGTGCTATCACTTTAGTTTATCATAATGTTAAGCATATATATCAACTCAGTTTTATATACCCACTCTTGTATTTGTAATTGAGAATTATGTGAATGTGAAAAGCAAGATCACAAACTAATAAAATAATACACCTTTTGAAACACATTCAAGCAAATCATGTTATGTATCTGTCTTTCATTTTTGTTGAAGTATTTGTAAAAAGTGTAACTGATTTTATTTTTGTAATCTAAAGAATTCTGCTGGAGCTCAGTTTGGCTTCCATTATCTGTACCATCATGAAATAGCATTTATAAGTGTGCTTAATAACAGTACTAATAGTGTGAAATTTTATATTTTTGTACTCTTGAGTATATACACCTTAGCCTTTGATTACAAACTCAACCATACAAGAAATGTGCCTTTTTGTCAGTGTAAACGTAAAATTGAATTTTACTCGAGCATTTATATTAATAAATTTTATACAAGCTATTAGTTTACAAGTATTGGCTTTTACCACTACAATTTAACATACAGACAAACAGGGGACCATTTCATCTTTCAAGACTGTTCCTGCATACTTACTCTAAGAAAAAGTAAATATTCCTTTAATTTTTCAAGAAATAATAGCTTCCCCTCTTTAACTTCTGTAAATTATTAGCTAACCTTCACTACTGCTGATAGCAGCTTGTTCTATTAACCAATTACCCTCTTAAAAAAAAAAAATCCAAAGGAAGCCTTCAGGGATCAAATGATCCCTTGTTGTCCGTATGTTATGTAATGTTAACTGGAGCCTAGCCTGTCTTTTCCAGGCCTTAAAATTATGTCCTTTCATCCTTTTATCTTCACAATACAGCATAAAAGAATCAAGTATTAAAATGAATGATTTTATGCTTTTACATGTCCCATCAAATTCAGAACCTAGTAATACTAAGTAATCATTTCAAATGATGTGGATTTATTTCATTATATAATTTGAAAATGTAATTTAGGGGTAATTATTTTAATATTCTTGAATAATATCAAAAACTGGAGAGTATTCATTCATTCTTTCTTTTTTTCATTCAGTTCCTTATTTTTTTGCTGTCACTGTAATCATTATATTTATCCTTTGCGGATTGGTTTAATTTATGACATTTTACTTTTTATTTCGAAACTTGTAATTCTCCATGCATCTCATACCTTTTGTTAGTAAATTTATGAGCAGTTATGGTTTAAGTTTATTTTGAACCAGTTTTTAGTTATATATCTTCCCAACTGAATGTAGATGCAAACATTTTACTTTAAAATATTCTCAAGATATATTGCCTTTTATTTTTTCTATCTTGAATCTTACTTTGCATTGTTGATTTAAAATTTATTAGAGTTTTAAACAGAAGTTTGCATATATTTGCAACAAAGTTTTGATTGAAATACTGTACAGGCTCTTAAATAAAAATAAATTACAGTTTTTATGTTCAAATCAACTGAATTGCTGTTTGTAGTAATGGAGGCCAATATTTCATTAGAGTTTAATAGTGGAATTGATGATTTCCTGAAAAATATAGGGCAGGGTTACACTTTTTTCAAGGGTGGTTGTGCAAGGACAGCCTTGAAGAACTAAATGGTCCTAATCTTTATGTTATGATTTTAAAATGTAAATCCATGGAAGCTTGAGTAAGCTTAGAGTAATAATGTTTATCTTTTATTTTATAAATATATGTTGATTTAATATGAATTAAATTTTGACACTGGTTTTCCTTCCTCTTTCATGTTGAATATAGATACTGCAAAATGGTAATAGGTTTTTGTATTTGAAGGTAAATACTAATTTACTTGTATATATATTTGGTTATTATTCAGTTTATTTTATTTATTAAATCAGTACTTACTATTGGTGCCAACTTATTAGGGGCAAAGCACTTTTTTGCCACTGCAATGTTCAAATTAAACTGTGGAGGCACTGTTCCACCAATATTTTGGAAATTGTATTACTAAGTTTATACACACACTCTACTTTAATATAATGAAATGCAGCAGCAAACACAAGAAAAATATCAGAAACTCCTCTGAACACATGGTTAGAAATATAATACGATAAAGTTTTTATAAAGCAAAGGTTTTCCATTGTAACACACAGTAGTGAACACTGAAATCTGTCTGTGAACATCATGTGACTCGCTTCCTTACCTTGCCCCTACTAAGTCAATGCCTATATATGCGTGTGTATGTGTATATATATATATATATATATATATATAATAA